TCCCCCGACACATCACTCAGCTTTGAGATGAGCACAAGCCAACTCATTCCTACATATACGTGGAAGCACATAGTCAGCCGCTCTGGTGTACAAAGCCGATTCGTTTTCCAAACTCTGTCTTTCCACCTAACGTGCTGGCATAGCTCGTACTGTTCAGACAGTTCCTACAAAAGCTTTTGAGACACTTCGTATCACTGCATATGAGCAGTCTTCAATAAGCACTTTTCTCTGACTTCTCTTTATCTGCTCTGCTGGTATGCCCTATTGATAATTTTTAACTTTTTTAATTTAAGAAATTGACATCCTCAGAAAGCTGAGCAAATATTCCTCAACCTCTGGTCCAAACTGACCATTTTGAAGCAGAGTGCACAACACTCTTAGGGGTGCTCTGAAGCTCTGATGGTTTTGCAACCACCAAATACCGCTTTTACAAGGAGTAACTATGACCAAGTAACTGGCCAATGGTGGGCAAGGAAGTCAATGCTAAGTAAGCAGAACTCTCCCTCTCCGAAAGAGAAAAGCACACCCCTTCCCCTCAGACTGACACAGGACAGTCACACGTGTCCATCACTGCCAGCCAATACAGAGCCCATTCCCATCTTGTGTGCACTAAGGCCATAGCATCCATTCTCTCTGTAATCAGAGGGTGTGATGACACAGGAAATCAGAGGTCAGGTAAATAATCCAGAGGATTCTAAAAATAAACCCAAATTAGAACCCAAAATTTCTGTGAAATGTAGTAGCAGGTAGACAGAACTCTCATTGCAGCAGCAATTGCATCACTGGGGTGATACAGCAAGCACTGTCAGAAGGCTCCTTTCAATTCTCTACCTCACAAAAAACACAGCAATGAAGCAATGAAGCAGAAGAGAAAATGAAATTAAGAAAGAAAACCACACCACCAGCAGAAGCTGAAACTGAAGAATGCCATATTGCACATCCCTTACTCCAGATGCAAACAGAAGCTGCACTACTGTGGTTTCTTCATTACAGTGATACTAAGTATGAGCATTTGGATTTTTGCTTCACGCAAAAATGTAAGATTGTGTATAAATGTCCAAAGCTTACCTGGTTTTCCAACACATCATGCTAGCCGGACTACAAGGATCCCATTGCTCCCTTCAGCTGCAGGGCAAGAATCCAACCCACTCAAGGGATAAGCTGGCTGTCTCCAGGGGAAGCCACACACTGCTATGCTGCAGCTTCAAGAGGGACCAATCTTTTGGCTCTGCTGGCTCAGAAGCAGTAATCCACAGCTTCCTCATGAAAGTAAGCATTTAAGCCTGTAAAGCTTTAGCTTATCCAACATCAAGGAAACTTATGAAAAAAAATTAAATTAGGTCTAGCATTAGAAGACATCAGTGTATTTTCTGTCTAGGTATTGAACCTTTATCAGAGTATTTGGCACAAAACCAAATGCAAGAATTAATTTCAGTTTCGAAATTTTTGTTATTGGCATTGTGTGTCTTGGTCATAGGTATGGTGCAACCTTGGTCCATTAATACTCAGTGTGAAAATCCTTATTTCACAAAGCTTGATTGATTCACTCACAGCATTGGATCAGTTCTAGTTTGGTACAAATTTAGTAGAGTCATTCTCATGTAAAATCTGGTTAACAGCAGTAGGAACTGGGATTATTCTCACCAATCAATCCCTTAAAGACCACTTCTTCCAAGTAAAAGTCAGACCCATGAGAAAAGCTTCAAGAGTTTTCATACAATAAAACTCGGGATTGTAGTTCCTCCCAAACATACCTTACTGGCTGTCCATTTGATCTACTTAATTTCTCTGAGGAAAGACAATACAGAAAAATGAACTTGCTACATCATTAGATTTTGCTTTCTTCTACCTACACTTCACCTCCATTTCAGACAGCAGCAGCCAGCCATGACACAAACAACAGCTCTAGTCAGTCCACCACACTTTCCCAAGTGATGGAAAACTTCACTCTTGCAAACACGAGCCTGTCTGCAGGTTACTCATACAGAGATTGTGACAGCCAAATCCCCAGAAAAGCCCCTGTAACAGTCAACAGTTTACTCATACAGCTTAAAGCTAGATAATAAAAATTACCAGGACCTATTTCTGAAGAATTGGCTCGTGTTAGTCCCTCTTTTCCTTTTCCTTCAACAGATTACCTTAATTGTCATTTATACTGTCACAAAACTGGGAAGGGAAATTGAAATTTTGCATTGAATGCCCATGTTTGTAACAAAATAAGAGAGTTTAAGTCTAACGCTAACGCAAATTAATACATGCATGTGAGAACTACTTAGGAGAAGAAAAAAAAATAAAATCACACTGCACATCTTACACTTGCATTTACCTGCCAAAACTCAGGTACATATAGTAAAATACATTCCTTTCATCTGTAGGGTAGAAGTAACGAAAGCTTTACACTATCAGCATTCATTCCTCAAATTGTCCTCTATACATAAAAATTTGTGTTACAGCTTTGAGAGACAAATATAAACTGATAATCAGATACAAGTAGGCTTACATGCATGTTGGATTGAAGCAGGTACTGCCAAGGGACTCCCTGCTGTGTAACCCACTGATTTCCATATGTGCTGTCTCTGCCTAGTCCAGAAAACTCTCAGGTCTCTTGCAGTTCCACAGGCACACACATACATATATGTTGCTTTAACGAGCACTAACTGTTACAGTTTTCAAACAAAAGACACTTACAGTAACCTGGTACATAGATACTTTATTTCTGACATTAACACGGTCTGTATTGTGATATCCTCTTACATAAAAGAAAAGTTTGTAGTACAACAAAAACTAAGATAAACAAGGCATTTGTTGCACATTATGTCAAACCTTAGAACAAAAATATGGTGTAATATGTATTTAGGTTTCATGCAAGTTTGGCTGCTGCATGTACAATTTACCTATAAACTGAAAGAAATGCAAATGCACACAACATTCAAAAAGTAATAAGATGCCTGACATATGAAAGATTAAAACCTTCCTGCTAAAGCAACAAAGTAGGAGTTAACTAAACGATCCAACCAATACCAACACAAATTATTACTACCTACCATAAATCTATGCTTAAACTTGGTATAGGTAGCTTTGATGATACCATTTCTACTTCAATATACCATCCAGACTCTAGATAGTCATTCTGTCTTAACTTCATTTTTTGTGAATTAAATGCTGTCTCCAGCATTACATGTTGCTGTTAAATCCATTCTGGTAATGCACACCTAAATCTAGTACTGCCAAGAATTCCAACTGACTCCTCTAAATTTTGCTAAGTGAGGAGTAATCCTGGCATGATGGGCATTTTCTGATCCCTTGCTTATAATAGGATTCCCGCCCCCCTTAAAATTTTGATGTGAATTAAAAACTGCTAAAAATGTTTGTGCCTACTATTATCAGAGCCAATATCAAAAAGCTCATAAAAACAAGGATTGTATAAGCTTTGAGATGCTTTAAAAAAGTTTAAGAACCCATTACCTTCCTTGTGCCGCTCATCACATGTGAAAATTCTCCATTAATTAATTCTTCCCTACCATCTTTGATATTAAAGTGTTAGGAACACTTTCCACACCCTGCATAGTACTGGTTGATCTCATAAAGTTAACTAGAGAACCTGACATCATGTAATTTTACATACAGTGCATATGATGCTCGCTCTTTCCATCTCTCATAGCAGCAAGCCGATTCTGCCACAATCTGTAGCAGCACACCCGGGAGTGGAGAGGAAGAGTGTTTGAATTATAAATAACTAAAACTACAGTGTACACTTCTATTTACCTGTCAGTATCTGTTGAGAGCACTCTATTGTAACTTGCTCGAAATTAACTACATAAAAATCTCTACAACAAAAGCAAACCAAAACATTCCTTCAAAATCAAAAAATAAAGACATAAAATAAGTGCAAATACCTAAAATAGGCAACTAAAGCAAGTGTTGTGACCTGTATACCTTTAAATAAGGACAAAGATTTTTCATAAATAAAAAAATGTTCTCTTTGCTCTTCAAATATTTAGTCAGTATATAATGGTCAAAGTTAAGTGCAGATACAATTGTTTTGAGATCCAAGGTGCCAAGTTTCTTTAAAAAAAAAAAAAAGAATAAAATATATATATTGAAAATGCCTTAGTTTTTAGTTCCTATGCAGGACAAAGTACTCCTCAGTCACAAATAAGACCCCCACCATTTCTTTCTAAATATATTTAAACAAGGTACAGGAACAGTTGCTGTATAATACAGGAATACCTTGTAATTATGTTGTAGACCAACATGATTTTAGGGCTATAGTGCAATCTTTATGTGGATGTAACATACAGTATAGATTTTTACACTTCACCACTGTAATTCTTCTGCTATTTCATATATTTTAAACTTGTCCTTTTTTCATTTTAGCTGTTTTAACAGGAAACAACATTGGCCTCTAGACAACCTGCATACATATAAATATCTACATTTAAGCTTTGAAATGGAAATAAATTATAAAAACAGACTCCTTTCCAATTTACAAAATTTTGCTTGTTCCTACATACTGTACAATACATTCAACAATCATCTCATTTTGAGATTTATGAAGAAAATACTGATGCTTTACACTAAACTTAATTCACCCCCCTCTGCCTACTTCTAGTACCATTTGCAAATAAATATATTTAACACTGTAGTTAATTTCATTGTTTGCAGCATACCAAAAAAAATTAGTAGTGCAACTTTCTATCCTTCCTTTGTACTCCTTTCCATTGTGTTTCTTTATATACTAGAAAAATGCTACATAAGCAAAAGCATGTTCAGTCACATATGTTGCTCGTTCGGAAACCAGTAACAACCTATAAACCTACTCTATATTGAAAATGCTCTAACAGATTAAAAAAGCGATGCAAGTCAAAAGAATAAATATGAAAAATAGACCTAAAAACTGTATGTTGTCAGTACTGCAATGCATTTTACCCTTCTTTATATTTTAGAGGGTTACTCATTTAATATCTAAAAAATTAATTGCAGAACTGTTTGCGGTATCCTTTTGTAAAGCATGTAAGAGCTTCATGTCTGTTCTTTGTCAGTCAAAAGAAGAAAGGAAGCTTTAAGGTAGTTTTAAGGTTTCCCTTGGCAGACTCTCTCAAAGACTTAATTCCCAAATATCACATGGGAATCGCCTCCAACATTGTTTCAGTTTCAATGGAAAGAGATGGTTGTCAGCTGCAGTGACCATCACAGTATCAGAGACCTTGAATTGCTGTTGGTAGCTGTGTATGTGCTCAGATACCTTCTTGCTTGTTCAGTCATGATAAGCTGGTCTTCTGTTTTTCCATAAACAACTGCCTCCCAGTCACGATTTGGCTGCATAAAATAAACTGCCGTTAACAGAGGTTCTTTTAACAAACTAAAATACTTGAGCAATTATCATACAAAGTTTCAGAGTTTAAATTCATTCATTTATTCATTCTGAGAATAAATTCATAAATTCAGAGTAAATATTCAGAGAATAAATTATTGAAGTCTAGAAACAGTATATTTTACTGAGAAGGATCCAGTTCTACAGTACAATACCTACAACTTGTAACAAAACTCCCTCACCACCCCTTAATCCAAGTCCCCAGCAGTGAATCTGGGTTATGGTACAAGTTCTAACACACAAAAAGAAAAATACTCTTCAGTAGAGTCTAGCCAGTTCAACAATTAATACATGACAGGGAAGCTAATTAAGTTCTCTTTGAGTATCTTACTCTTTAAATGTGCTAAGTTCAACAGGCAGAAAAACACATTACTGACAGCTGTCTGGAGACACCAAGGAAAGTAAAGTTATTTGGGAGCTGGAAAAGAAGATTGTGAAGAACTTTACTGAACCAAGTGACAGCTGTGGAAGAATGGTCAGGTTTTTGGGGAATATATTAGAAATGGCAAAGGAATTGGGAACAACAATGATGAATGGAAGAATAATTAAGCTACTAGTCCAACTTTTTGCAAGAAGCAAAGCCTACATCTTCACATGATGCACTGGATCTCGAGCTGATTCGTTTCAGCTCAAAATTGGACCTGATACTGGCTGATTGTTGCATGATGAAGAATGCAAGATCCTCTCCCTCCCAGTTCTGCATATTGATTGACAAAGGAAATTTGTACAAAGTCAGGTCAAAGAATCTCTTCTTCAAGCTGTGATCAGGACAGAAGGAAAACTAGGTTCCATGGTTTTACCAGAATGAAAAGTATACAGATGCAAAAGAACAGGCCTGTTACAAGAACAATTACCAAACAGAAACTGTAGATGATCTCTGCTTAATGAATCCCACTGGGCTTATTATGAAGAGTAAGCACCAGACAAATCTGAGAAACTAAAGTCCAAAAGAAGTTTCGTTTGCACCAGGTCATGTTTTCTAACTCCTAGTCTTGGCATCCAAAACTGTTTTGTAGGTCTCCCCTACCCTGTTTTTTACCCCCTCCCCACCATCTAAATCTTCATGAAACATCAGATTGTTTCACTAAAACAAACTGTGAAACATCAGGATTGTATTTAAAGAACTTAGCTATGAATAAACATTGTGGAAAAATGACCAATTTACAAGAAATAAGAATCATGGAAATACTGAAACTGGATCACTGGTTTCAACAATTCCAGACATTAGTGCAAGACAAACAAAACAATACAAAATTTCTTTGTTAACCCACTAACAGAATTCTTTGCATCCAGACCTGAAGAGCTTTCTCCATTTTGACATTTTTTGTAGCACATGCATTCAGTTTCTTCTTAATTACTGCATTTGCTTTGTTTGCTGGATTTGTATCCTGTTTTTCTGATGTCAGGTTACATCTGTTGTCCTGTATTTCCAACAACGGTGTCATTAACAAAGATGTGGTATATGCATTTTTTGACTATTGACAAAAAAGAGAGTAGGGAACAGAAATATTAATTAGTAATTAATACAGAAAGACTTCAACTGCTGTGTTCAGAGAAGCCAAAATGTAAATAAAGCAAATACTATCAGAAAGACCCTAGGAATGAATCTGAAAAGAAAATGTAATGAACAGTGTATGAAGAACTAGCCTGGTCCATACTGGGATCCACAGTCAATACTAAGCACAGTACAACAAGCAGCTGCTAGCATGGTTTAGGGATCAATGAGTAGACAGCTTCTTTACTCTAAAGACACATCACTCTGATACATTTTGTTAAGAACCACATTTGATAAAGTGGTAAATACACAATAGTTTTAAAGAAAAAATTCACTGTCACTTCTAGGACAACCCCTGTGAAAGTAAGGGCAAGCAGACTAGAGTCAAAAAAGTAATACCACATCAGTTTAAGGGGGAAGAACTGCTTTAAGAACTGAAATAAGCACTGGATGGATCATTCCAGAAGAATTTTATATATTGGTAATGTCTATGGAAATAAAAAGAAATTAATCTAGCTTCAGTATACAAAAGTGGAAGATTGACATATGTCAATCTTAAAGACCAAAAATTAGATAACAACAACAGTAGCATAAGAATTTACTTGCTTACAAAAACACCCCTTTAAAGTGCATTAAACCAGCTTTTAAGTATTTATTGTACCTCAACCTTATTCCTAAATTATCGTCACAGGGACACACAATTTCTGCTTAAAGATTGGTATATTTTTCATTTTTACCACTATCTCTCTTGCTAGGAGTGAATGTTCTTGTTGCACCAGCATTTCTTATGTAAATGAAGGAAAACCAACTTTCCCTCAGTTCCCAGCCTTTAAAAGGCCACACCATCATGGTGTATCTTAACTTGGACTCAGTGATGCACAATAATGCATCATAACAAGACATCACTAAGAGAACAGCAGGCAATTTGGTCATGACTGGAATGATTGCAGCACTGCTGCTCCTCCCAAGAGATGTTCCTGGGGAAGCTGGCAATTCCTACTAGGTGGCAGAGCACCCCATACCCAGCAGGAAGATACCAAGGCTTGGCACAGAGTCTAAGAGGCACTTCAGAAGGGAATTTAGAAAACCAGCTAGAATGGAGTATGACCTAAGCATCTTACATAGTCTTTTTAAGGACCTTGGCTCCTACATCCTGTATATAGCCTTAAACCTAACCAAGAATCACAGACATTTACTCTTTAAGCATTTAACACATACATGCATTACGAACTCATTAGAAAGAAGCTTTCCTACAAGACTAAAGAATAAGCTATTCAACTACTCAACTGAAGAAACATTAAGCTTCTTTATAAAGGAAAGGACCAAAATAGCCCCATATCTGATTTCGTCATGTCTTGGTTTTAGAGGCAGAAGTATTCAAATTCCTTTAGGCAGAGGAAGCACACAAACTTCATTTTCACATGCTTTATATTTCTTAAAAGTATTCCCCTACGATGTGAAGTAGGAAAAAAATGCTGCCTAATATGCAATTAGGCATTTTCAGAACACGTTTGCCAGACTGTCAAGCATGCACAGCACAGGAGCAAATATCTTCCTGGTATGTTACAGAAAGCTTCAGCATGCTGTGTATGCTAAAGTTTATAGGTAACCATCTTGGAAACAGCTTTGCTACAAACCTGTAAAGCATTCACATTATTTAACCTACTCTGAAGGACTGAAAGGAAAACTTCCTGCATGAATTCAAGCCCAATGCTCACCTATTTCTTAAGTACTTAAAACAGTATTTCAAACTGAAGGTATTCTTCACTTTCTAGATTATTAATCTAGCAACTTCAATTAAAAAATTATTTTAGTGGACAGAACAAAAGATACACAGTCCTATATTAATATTGCAGCCAATGATGAGTTTAGTTTACTTCTTACCTGTACATCTAAACTATTATCTTCTGTCAAGCGCTGGGCCCCAACCTCTTCCTTTTCCTGGGAATCTAGGATCAGTGATTTTCTGACTTTTTTAGAAAAGTTGTGCTGAAACAAACATTTTGCAGAGAAAAACTGTAAAATATTATTTGAAAGCAGTTATTCCCTATTTGAAATTACTACTGTCATATTACCTCCTGCTTGCAGTTTTTATACAAAGTGTCATCTTCCTCCTTGGGAAATATATCTGTTCCAGTTTCCTCTTTCAAAACTTCCCTAATGTCTTCCTCCGAGAAGGCAAGTGGTTGTGACTAAACATTCATTAAAATTAAAGAAGAAAATACAGGAAGTCTATTAGTGGTCAGTTCTCACAACATTCTACTCTCAGCTAATATAGGCCAGAAAAACAGATCTTGCAAAACACAGCAAGAAAGGACCTAAGGTACTGTAGTTAAAACCCACAGGGCTACATTTCAAGGTTATGAAGATTATTTTAAGTTCATTTTACTCCACGTTATTGTTAGCCCGATAAAACACAATGCCTCAAAAATACAAGGTAGCATTGAAGCAAGGAAGCATTGAAGCTACTTGTTAGCAAATGGTTATCCACTGATAAAAGGGATACAAATAATTCATATATACTAAATGCTTACATAAACATATGTATGTATATATACACACATAAAAACATACTAAAAACTGTACTAGAAATTTATAACTGTTGTTGTGAAAAGAATTTATACCAATTTTAACACAAATCTTTGAATAAGACATTGATAGTTCTAAGTACAGTACAGAATTTCACAGAAGCCATACAGATGGCTCCTTTGTGTACCAACAGGAGAAGAATTCCCTTAAGCCCTCAAAATTTGATTTTGAACAGGAGGTTAATAGTGGACAGAAACAGGAATGCCAAACCACTCCATTTGCATAGTGAGGGACTGTGAATCTATAGGGTAACACAGATGGTGCCAAGCCCTGTGGCAAAGTCTGAGCTACCTTCTGTGTTTGCAGAAAAGAAGCAGTCAATATATATTGGCTGGAATCTTTTCAGAATTTGAAAAGCATATGTCTCCTGAATTCCAAAAGTTATTATGCATTAACATACCTTAGCTAGGTTAGGAAGAGAACAAAAATTGAATTCATTTGGAGCAAACTAACAAAAAAAGGTAACATTATTCATAGTCAACAAAACCAAAGTAAGTGTGTGACAGCGGAATCAGAGGATCATGAACTGCTATACTACAATTTTGGAATTTAGGATGAAGAGAATTGCAAACATCACTCAAAATTATCACACTGTGGTAAACATCTAGTTTCAGTCCTAATGCTGTAGAAGAACCAAAACCAAAGAACAACTCAGCTCTTACATAGTCCAGAGGACTCAAAGATAATGCAGTTTTTCAAGTGCAATGTGAAAGTTGTTTAAAATAATGAGGTCAGTCACACTCATCTACAGCAGCCTGCTCTTACCAGATTACCCAGCTGGAGAACCCACACCCACTCACTCTGACTTCCAATTTTTCTTTTGAAAAAAAAGAATCCTAAAGTATTAAAATTTCAGGCAATTATGCACCCACCTTGTAAGAGATACAGGGCTAGCAAGGATAAAATTTTAAACAACTCACAAACATTAAATCAATGCGTTTAAGATTACCGTGGATCAAATGATTATATGTACCAAATTACTGCTCAAGAAGAAAATGCCTTCATACTACACTAAAGGATACAAGTCTAACAACCACATCCAAAGAGGTTTTGATTCACATTCTAGTTGTTCTCTAGGATAAGAGAACGCTTTCACACAGAAAATGCTAAGGTCACACTGAGTCTTACAGTACCTCAAAACCAAGGGAGCATTTAGACTTTAGCAAAGAAGAAAAGAAACAGTATCATCACATACCATAAGTCTGAGAGGACCATACTTTTTTTCCTGAGCAGCCAAAGCATTTTTAAAAGGAGTTGGTGTCCTTGGTGTTGAACCCAAAAGAGATCTTCTCATTGTGGGACTTCTAAAACTATTCAAGCACAGAATTTATCATTAGCAATGAAATAAAATTAATCTAAGAAACATTGTTAAATACCTTCATTTACACAACAGATATCACTACCATTAATCTCAAAGTACATAGCAGATGTTTAACATAATAAACCTACCCCACATTTTCCTTTTGATCTTGTGGTGTCATTTCCTTGTGTAGAGGAGTCGTAATAAGAACTTTCTGCCCACAGATTGGAGTCGATGTAAATGCAGGATTTTCAAAGTTAAATTGTTCATTTCCAGAGCAAGTATTGAAAAACTAAGCACAAGAAGGAAAAAAAAAAAGCAACCTTATAGGACAAAATTTCTCCATTGCACTGAATGGCAAAAAACCCCAAATTATATACATATATCTGAAAGACTTTTACTGACAAATCCCAATACTCTATTCTTGACTTACACTTATTGCTGAAACCATGATTTTCTTCTTAAAATCTCTACTACTTAATTAGGTCACAGAGACAAAAGGCCTCTATCAACAATTATTTGCATGAGAAAGTGTGAACTGAGATACAGGTTGCCATGGCTGCTGCCACTCTCCCCATCAGTCTTCAAAACAGAGGTTGTTTAATGATATATTTTTAATATATTTACCATTATGCAGATGTTTTAAGAAGTTTTTTGACATTTATTTAGGCCACTACTAGGGAAGAAACCATTTACAATTTATAACTCAGCCACCACAGTCTTCATGTTTAGCCATATTTAAAAACACACTCACCTGTGATGGAGAAAATGGTAGTGTTTTCACTGGCGTCCGCTTTAGTGCAACATTGACGGCATCATTACACAAGCCATCGTTCAGATCAGTGCCCGGGGACTGCCCAACACGCAATCTCTTCTTCTTTCTCAGGATAGCAGGTGGATTGCTGAGCTTAGTTAAGTTTGAGGTTGCTGAAAACACTGTTTCCTCATCCCCACTGATGCTGCTGTGGTTTTTACCATCAAGCATAACGTCGACATTATACTGGCACTCGGCAGCCCCTTCGTTGTGTTGAAGCCGCATTAGTTTTACCGGAGCTGGCTTGACAGGGGATACAACAGCCTCGGAAAGCTCAAAACAGGTATCACTCCATGCTACTGGATCCTATGGGGCAAGAGGCAAAACACAAGCAAGCTTATCCAAGATTACTTCAGAATGTCCAAGACAATCTAATCAGCCCTCTACCTCCACAAGCTATATACTGAGTTATTCTTCTTGTGTCTTTCACACAATCATATAATACTGCATATTTTACAACACAATTCTTTTAAAACAGACAATAAATCACTTTATAAGGCAGAAATACAAAATAAGGTAATTTTAAGAGTATTTTACACATATGGTGTAAGTTGACATTCCTAATTAAACACTTCTATTTAACAAGGAATACAAACTTACGATTTCCATAAGATCTAGTGTCTCTGCAAATTCTGGAATGGTTTGTAGAGGTGTTAACATTCTATTTGCTTCTACACCCAAATACTTAGGTGGTGAATTCTGCTGAACAGGTGTGATGCGGGTCTCGTCCATGCTGTAGAAATTACTTGTCTGTTCCTCAAGGCTACTTAGTGTATTTGGCATGCAATCCTCCATGATAAAATTTCCAGACCAACAAGACAAGCTTCCAGCTTGCTAAAAAGTTATGAAGAAACACGTTAATCTTATTCAACTTAGAGGTTGAAAACAGGCAATTATGTGACTGCAAGGTGGAAAAAAAAGTAGTGTGTGGAAACACTAAGCCTAACTATTAATTTTGGCATTTTCAAATACTAATTATCTGTTTCAATTTAAAAAGTTAGTCTTCTCCTTACATTAATATGCTCAATATTCTCAAATTGTTTACGAATTTTATCTTAGCTCACATTCATATCTTATATACACAACTTAGGTAATTATGGGCTGTATTGGAAGCCATCTCTGATGTAAGTTTCCTGTGTACCTGAACACCAGTATATTATTAAGTCATCTTCAGTACAGAACACTGAACTTCTAATTTTAAAATTAGAAAATGTTTCTAGAGTGTGAAATACTACTTGTTTGATCTAGCTTTTTTTAATGCAGATTTAATAGTTAAGTAAACTTCTAAAAGGTTATCCTATTTCAGTAGACTGTTTAGTACCCAAGAAACAAAATTTTAATTTTCACTGGAACTCTAGAAGCAAATCAGATTCTACTAGAAGTAGAACTGCACTGTTTCAATAGAATGCCAGGGATAAACCACCACATAAAATCTGAAGTTCACCTGTAACCTAAACTAGTGATCAGTATGGCTGGGTTAGTTAGGTGTCTGATATGCACAGCCCTCTGAGGAAATCAGTGACTGTCATCTGCAAGTCACCCTAATTCTACAGAATTAGGGAAATTCCACTGAATTTACACACAAATTATGCACGGTGCATATTTAGTGTTTGTCATGTCCAAATACGAATATTAAGTATTGCAAGCACTCACACTGAAATTTGAGTAAAATATAATCTACAGGACATTTTGAAATCAAATGGGGCAAAACCCATGTATTTTTCACCTTTCTTTACTGAGCAGATGATCAACACTGTTGATCCATAAATCTGAATGGCAGTGATATCAAATGTGTCACCTCCTCAAAAGGATTAAAATACAGGGGTCTTAGGAACTGCCAAATCGCTGGTCATATTTCTGCTGTATTCACAGTTTAGAAAACTGCATTAAAAATAAGTTGTCTCAGTTCTAATACATAGATTTTTGTTTTTCAGTGCAACAGCCATAGATTTGGTTTTAGAGGGTCAAGTGAAAAAAACACCACACTAAACCACACAACCGTGACTGAATTTCTGAGGATTAACCTCAGTAATGCATATTGAAATATTTAGAGAAATTTACAATCCTTACAGAAGACATTTGTTTTCTTCTGATTTCATTCTCTGCTGACATAAGTAGCAATTCAAGTTCCTTTATTTTCTTTTCTTTATCAGGATCATCATCAATAAATGGCTGCTGAAAAATTTAAGAAAGAAGCCATTACTATTTTTCACTTCCACCACCTCTTCACGGTAAAGATTCTGTATTATAACACAGATGTATTTTTCACACAGAGAGGGAACAGAACTGTTCAGGTTGTATCATATTTTGTTGTACAGAAGTCATCCACAAGTGAAACAACTCCAATTACCAGGAGATGGATCTGATGTTAAAGTGGTGTGTAAAGAGGTATTTTATCTGGATTCTAATATGGCCTGTAAGTTATCTGTGTGCTAGAGCACTTTCTAAACTCAAGTCACTACATTCTATCTTTAATAGAACCAAGTGCTGGCACACCAGTTTATGTGCTTGTGTTTTCACGTGCCTTCTACAATTTTGTGTTATTTATCTTCACTAAGTGTGCAAGAAAGTGTTTCAAATCAGCATTTGCTGATTCAGTATTTATACAAGCAATCCCACCACTACTATCAGAAAAGAAAATTAATTGGTTTTGATAAGTTTGCTTGTTCTTAACCTCCTCAACACTTTCCATTATTGCTATAAATGTAGGTGAGGATATATGCTATCACCAGTTTAGAGAGTACTTCAAGGAGCCAAAAGTATCTTATACTTTTCTGTGTAGGGCAATCTAGACTGTCAAAAGCCATTTGAGGCTTTGTTGTGACTTGTATTCTTATACCACTATCAGGGAAGAAAATGCAACATGAAACAGATGACCTGCATGGGGGAACTTCAGGTTAGGTAGAAAGTTCTACAGAATTCCTCTATCTAACACAAACAAAACGTATTATTTCCTGTGTCAAAATACTCCTTTTACTAATTCCAAATTCACAAGAATTCTTCCAAGGCATCATATTAGAAACCAAGATCTATATTCATTCTGCATCACATGAGAAATTTCAGATATATTCCAAGTGAGCCCAAAAAAGCAAAAGGAAATAATATATCAAATTTCTATTTGTTTTAAGGTTTCTTGATTCTTCAGTATTTAGAATGCTACAAAAGAGCATCTTCAACTGATTGAAAGATGTTTATCAGTGAGAAAGAAATAAAATCTAATGAGAACAAAAAAGCACAGCCAGAAGTGTAAGTCACAGTAAATTGAGTTTTTCGGAAAGGGCTATATTTATTACATGTATGTAAATAGTATAAGATAAGTAATACTAATATAGGTCACAATTTAGCCTCGAGATTTAACAATTAGACTGTGTTTTAAACCGTATTTCTATCAGAAATAAGCACAAACATGTTTCTGGGATAAAGAAAGAAAGTTCATTTTTCCTACTTAATACTACCAACTACACTAGCAAGCTTACTTACAGAGGAATCTATATAAATTTAGGTGAATAATAAAGACTAACAGACATTTTGTAGATACACATCTTTTCATTTTACTGAATAATATTAGGCAGTAAATTCTCTTTAATTTATGAAGGCTGTTAACATCTTACCTGAACTATGTTGGAAGAAGATGGAGCATGTTCTAGACAGCTGCTTTCTGGTGAGGCATATTGATATGTTGGAATCTAAGAAGACAAAAAAAATTTTAGAAACCCTCAAGAAAATGAGGCTATAAAATTATCTCTAGTTTATTATACATAAACTATTTATGGTTTACAAAGCCCCAGTTGCCATAGAAATCACAAAAACACTCAACAGATCTTTAATCTTTCAGATCTGTTTCTTGTTTCAAACCAAATCAATTATTTGAAACTGGGAAATACTTATTATTCTAAATTATGAACTTACATGTGTCTGAACAGGCACATAAAATTGATTCTGAGTGTGCAAGTGTTCCATAGTCAGACAAGGTTGGGGCTGAAGTTCAGCAGAACTAGCGCTTTCAGACTTTATAACGCTTTGCAAATATCCTTCCTGTTCCACCTTTCTTCGCATTGTTGAATTCCAGTGATTTTTAATTGAATTGTCAGTCCTAAAATGAAAGTATAAAACAGTGACTAGTTTCCAGTCCTCAAAATCTAATACATGACACAGTTTACAGGGTTTGTAGAGTAGGTTAATCTGAAGCCACAAATCCAGAAAGCTCCAGCAGCTTAGACTGAAAGTTCTGTTATCAGTAGGGTTTTGGCCAAATGACTAGCTACTAGCTACTCTTTTTAGAACCTACTTCTACTAAACTTTAAGTGTGATGGAAATTGAAAGAAGAAAAGGAGAAAGCCACGGTTCGGACTGTAATCATGAGGGGGAACCTTTTTTCTTAAATACTTGGAATAATGTAGTGAACAGTTACTTACCCCTCTGCTATAAATTTGCAGTACATGTAGCTAAGACAATCACCTCACTGTCCCACAACACAGTAAAGGCACTTTGGCTGGTGTTTGCCACTCGAAGACATCTCTTCTAAAATTGACAGCCTGCAACCCCCACTCTGTGTTTTATGTGCAGCTTTGTGGAACAACCTCCTACTACCTCTTCATGCCCTTGATCATGGATAGGATAAAACAGGCATGGCATTTTGACAAGCAGGCTGAAATCACTCTTAACACTAAACAAACATTAAGGTAAGAGTAGACTATAACTGCATTACTGTCTAAAATACTAGCATTATTATTATGTCTAGCCTTAGGTAGAGGTACACAGTAACAAAAAAAATTGGTTAAAGCCCCATTCTTCATTTAAGGTGACTGCAAGAAGTATTCCCCATTTTCATCCCACTAGTGTTGGACTCTGCAAATCTTCTAGGTCTATGATCTTTAGTAGTCTTTAGCTAAGAGTGTCAGATTATTGACAACAAACAAGCTAGTAAATAGGAATTATTCTGTCAAACTCATCTTCCCTCTCTGAAATTCTATTTAGATGCAGCCCATTCTCTTGTCGTTCCTCCAAAGGATTAAATGTGAACCACGGATTGTGCACTTATCAAAACACAAAATTTTTAAGTACACATCCATCATTATACCATGATAACAAATGCTGACATGTCTTAGGCACAGCTAGACAGTCACCTCTTCAACACAAAGTGAACTGAGAAAGGGACAGCTTAACACTGAATTTCAATTAACAGTACAAGGTAAAAGAATTATTTCATTAAACTCTTTACACAATAAAACTTTGTTTTCCACAACCACAGAAATTTGCAACAAAACTTGAAAGAAATAAGGTGAACAATGTATACAATTCATTCTTAACGTAGAGATTTCATGATAATCAACTAACTTTGCAATGCATGACTCCTAAGCCTGGACTTTTGAAGGTTACTAAGATTTTCTTTTACAAGTGCCCAGTTCAACATGTGCTATCCAACAAAAAACAGAAAATCAGATCTTAAATCAGGAAAGTCACCATCAAATGCGTATTAATGAAGGCACTTTGAGATCAAGTTTGATATCAAATCATTTTTCTACTACTACTTCCAGTTAATTCAGTTCAGCTCTATTATAGAGGTTTTTTTAAGCGATCAGGAGGAATTTGAAGATACCTTCAAACCATTACAGATCTTTCTATGGGTTTTACATCTTTTTAAAAATACAGAACAAATGTTAAAGATTTTTAGCATCTATCAAGATAACTATGTTTTGATGTAAGTCTCAACAGATACTCTCTGACTAACAACTTAAGATTTGAAAGGGTACTGAGATGAGCACTTTTCATATTCCAACATTTAACACAAAGAGTTGAAAAGCACCTTCCAGGAAGAAGTTTTGCTATTTCAGCCCATCGGTTTCCCAAACGCTTGTGAGCTTCATAGATTATTCTGTCCTCTTCTTCTGTCCACGAAGACTTTTTTACCTCAGGATTGAGATGGTTATGCCATCTTTCTCTGCATTGCTTGCCTATTCTTCCTTTCAGGTGTTTTGCAATTAGAGACCAGCGCTTTGGACCATATTTCTGAACTAATTCAATAACCTGGAATACAGATGAAAGCACATTATAATTTCAAAACCTAATTTACCTAATCAAAGGCTGAGAACACTGATAAACTCACATTTTATAACAGCATTATAATGGTCAACAGACATTAAGCCTAAGGAGGCAGACAGTGACTCGGGGATTTAAAAATGATTTTTCAAGAAATCAAAAAATTACTAACTCCAAATTCTCTGTGTTAAGAATATAAGTGTATACTGATGAAAGCATTCATTTGGAAGTTTCCTTTCTATGACAGACTGTCTAAGCTGACATTAGGAAAGAACAAAAAAGAAACTGGTAAAGACATTTCATTTGATTGTTTTCAACAATATTCATATGAGGAGAGAACCACACCTCTACACCTGGAAATGGAATGGAGGTTGGGAATTCTTACAAAGTAGAAGCTTTTTCCTAAAAGACTAATTAAATAAAAAATAGATTAGGAAGACCATATTAATAAATTGACAAACAGTAGTTTAAAACATCTTAGAAGAGTTTTAAACAGGAGGAACAAGAAACCAATTTGAAATACCACAGGACAGCTGTATTTGCATCTCCCTACCAGGCAGTCCAGGTTGTGCAGGCAAAAGGCTACAGTACAGATTAACAACAGCAAGGTGAAAAAAGGAGCCTAAAACATTGATATCTTCTTTACATAAATAAATGGTTTCACAGAATATTCTAAGGTGAAAAGAAGCCAGAAGGATCATCAAGTCCAATGGCCCATACAGGGATCACTCTCACAACCTTGGCATTATTAGCACTATGCTCTAACCAAATGAGCTGATCTCAGGGTTGTAACAGTAGGTTATGAAATACTTTCACTTATTCCCAGTCCCTTCAGGTCTGGTGGGTTTGAGGAATAAAAGATGTAAACGAGACCTTTGATCTTCAGTGCTACTAAGAGATGCCTCCCCTACTTGGTAGGCTAGAGTAATTCAGCCAGCAATCTCCCTAATGGGAAATTAAATACTTGAGCAGACCCAACATTCCATCCACTTAAGACAGATTTTTTTTTTTCTTCTCATACATCATAATGTAATAAAACTATCCATGTCACAAGATGTATCAGATATCAACTATATGGGAATGGAACTTTAAAAAGTACACATTCCTAGCAGTCATATGCCAATTTTATTAAAGAGCAAAGTATCAATTAGGTTTTGTTACCCTCTGATCTTCTTCTTTTGTCCAGGGACCTTTAATCAATTCTGGGTTTAGTACCTTCTGCCATCGATGCTGGCACTGAAAATCTGAACGATTCTGAAACAGTTGTAGAAGACCAGTGTAGCTGTTAAACTCTTGAATTCATAAATCTGTAAATACATTCTAGCATGAATTATTAGCTTATTTCAAATTAAAAGACTTATTTAGAAGTTTGTTCAAAGTATAATAGTTAAATTCTCCCTTATTATTTCTTATTTCATTTGCTTATAAAAAACTCTTCTCCGGAAAAAAAAAAACCAACCTTGCATGAAGCTCTAATCTAATTACTTCAGTGTACTAACTTGATAATCAAATTCAGAACTTACTCTTCTTTAAAGAAAAATTTATATTATTTTTGTCCTCATTACTCCACACTTTCTCTAAACTTTGTGGCTAACCTATTTTTGACATTATCTATAACTTAAATAAGTGAGAAATCTTTTAAGGAAATACTTTTTATTTCAAATAAAAGAACACACTTTTTGCTAAATCCAAAACGAATGTATTCTCAGCTCTTTACTAGAGTGTTAAGGCAAACAGATTTAGATCAAATTTAGTTAACACATACTAATTAAACAACATTGCTTTTGCTGGTCAGGACAGATGGTGCTTTTCTGTAGCTTCACTAAGGATCTTTTGAAATATTGTTCCCAGTTATGAAAGAGAAATAACCTTCACTTAGCCTCCCAAAAACTGTCTGTATGAAAGAGTTGGTCCAATGCTTAGAAATATGCAGGTAAGCACCGGCCCCAGGACAGCATACTTTTTTAACACTGGGACATGATTATTTACTTCCTTCAGTATAAGCTGTTGGATAGCAAATATCCATTGCAAGGTTTTGTTGGTCTTGTCTGCCAAGTAAAGGTGTTACCATGCTAAGATGAAGTTAACAAAGTAGCAGTCTGCAAGACCAGAAACAACACCCAGAACACTAACCCCTGTAAATACACTGTGCACAGTACCTTCAAGCTAATCGCAAGTAATAACTGTATGATTAAAAGCACACTGCAGCTTTTTACAAAACATCATCATTTCCTGTTGAAGACAAGCTGTAAAAGACAGACTCAGTATAGAATAGCTGTTACCATTTTGATGAAAAAAAATTTAAGTTATGGCCTTTTAGTGCTTTTATCTTCCAGAAATGTCTGAAACCATAATATGATTTGGAGAGAAGAGCAAAACAAATGATGGAATGAAACAATATAATCGTTTCAGTCTGCCTTAACCACAAAAAAGAAATCAAAAGCAATTACAAGCTACATTCTTTCTCAAGAGTGACCTTGAAGCCACCTTCACTTATTTCGGGCAGAATGGAGGGAAGGTTTACCTGTGCCTAGTCCAGCAAAGAAATGAGGGTTGAAAGCACAGCAGTTTGCGGGCCTTTACAATTCAAGATACCCTTGGTTTTCCTAGCAAAAGACCATCAGTAACAAGGTAAGTGTGAATTATGCCAGCCTCTATTATTTGGCTGTTGCAATAGGTTGCCTAAAAAGGCTGTGAAGGCTCCATCCGTGGAGATCATCAAACCCAAACACTGTCCTGGCCATCCTGCTCCAGCTGATCTTGCTTGAGCAGGGGCTGTGAACCAGTGCAGAAATTCCTTCCACCATCACTGGTTCTGCAGTAGGCACCTGATCATGCACATTTCCTATGATAACTGGGGAACGTTTTTTCAACCTCACTTGGGCCCAGCTGAACAACAGGATTTTTGCCACCAGAACTATTTGTTTTTAGCTGGAGAATTTTTTACTAAACTGTTAGACCTGTTAAATGCAACTCAATGTAATTTCATATCCATATCAGTATCATCAAGTGTTTTTTCAAATAGCTTAATATAAAAGCCTTTTGATTCTCCTCTGCCATCCACACATTTCACTCATTTTTATAAGGAAATAATGTATATGTATGGAATATGGATTTGCTTACGCATGACTTAAATATAGAAGCTTTATTATCTGATATCTATATTTTGCCATTTGGAAAAAAATCAGAAGCATCATAATTGCACAAAAATAAGATGAGAACAACGCAAAATTATAGTTGTTCAACACTTAGAATTCAAGTCCTTTTCTACCTTACAATGGAATTTCATACAACCACATCATCCCACACAATATTGTAAGAACCTCAAAGGTAGGAAGAGGTGTAAATTTTTGATTTCTAATATTTCAATATACAATACCACTTCTAGGAAGTGATTTCAGCCTTATATTCTACCATGTTTTTACAGCAGGCATTTTATAACATTTGTTCAGAAGAGAAACACCATCAATTCTAGCTGTAGGTACTTTCAACAGTTACCTCAGGGAAGCAGTCATCATTGTAAAAAAAAAAAAAAAAATCTCAAACCCAAACAAAAAATCCCGACAAACACACAAATAAAAAACGAAACACACATGCCCCCCTTGCCTATGGTGGTTAAGAAATTCATCCCTCTCCTTTCAAGCAATCTTTCAGATGCAACCCACTCTCTTAACTGCTTCAGAAGCAACCTGTGAACTGTGGATATAGCCACCATGAGTAATGGAACCCAGTAAGATACAGGAAAATATTCCATAATGAAAACAAATAGCAAGTGTGAACAGAATATATTTTTGATCATTTCAGACTTTCACTGAAGACTGAGCCAAGAGGGCTCATCAAGGTCTGAGCTAGATCTCAAGTCTATGTGCTTCTGATTGTATTTCATTTCATTTCCAAACTAGACATATGACCAAAGTAAATAAATATTAAGAGAACTTAACTGAAACAGAGTTGAACTTACTTGTAGATGACTAGCAATGAAAGCCCAATCATCTGTACCATTTTGTTCCACCAGCTTCTTTAGCCTTTCATCCTGTTAAGACATAACCTCAGCCAGTAAATTTTTCATGTGACCCCAATACAATACTAAATAATAACATATTTCATGACCTAAGAAGATCAGGTAGGGATCAGACTAAAACAAAAGAAAGTGTTACCTCTTCACGGGTCCATTTCACTTTGCTACATATCTTCTTCAAACCTTTTTGCTGTGGTACTTCATAGTCATGATCCATATATTGAAAGTCATCGTCTTCCTCACTACAAAGCACAATAGAAGAGTGAAGAAGATCAAAAGAGAGTTTAAAATACCTCTGAATAGCCTTTTTTTCTAATTACTTGTAGCTTTTTTCCAATCTGCACATATTGTTCTAAAATGACGTATGGGATTTGCATGATCACAAGGTCTGCCTCCAGCAGTTCACCATGCTAAAGTACCAAACTAATTTCAAGGCCACACACTGGACAGATAATTCATTCCAAGTTAAGATTTAAATTTGAAGTAAAAACTACTTTTAAAGATTCGAGTATTTCTAATACTTTTTTTCATCTTTATTTTATATGAATGAACTTATAGAGTGGTTTGCTAGACTGCAAAATACATTCACGATCCACCTCCGTAAGTGAAACAACAAACACAAGAATGTGAAATAAGTAAATCTCAGCTTGAGATTTTAAGTGGTCTCCTGACTTGCCTAAAAGTGTTGCCTCAGTGTTACAGGAATTAGATACAAATCTTTGAAGACAGATACGTTCCAGAAGCAGTAACTTTGGCATCGGTGCTGAGCCTCAAAGCGCAGAGCCGGAGGGGCAGGGCAGCCAGGTACTTCTGCGGCTCCGCGTAGATCACGCTCCATCTACTGGAGAAATGCGGAACTCCAGAGCCTGGATAAACAAAGCCTTCCAAACAGGCGGCACAGGGAAGTGTTTCATGGAATCATCGCTTAAACTTCTGTGTCAGTGACTCACGTTAGCATAAATTCAAACACATGTGGAAACCTAGGTCTAACAACAAGAGCTGCAGGGCCCCTGCATTAATTATACCAAGGCACAAAGAAGGGACTCCCATCTAAATACGCTGCTTAAATTAAAAGCAGTTTCACAGCGCAATTTTTTCTCTATTTTATTATTGGTACAAAGCACGATAAAATATCATAAATTCAGGTTCAAAACAAAAATTATTTCTGCTCATCCTTGACAATTACTTCATTTTTTCAATCAAAAGTATAAAAAACCCTTTCCCCAGTAATGAAATTAACCTGTGCTGGTGTCAAGAACAGATTCGATGGACGATCTCTCCAGAACATGCAATGATCAGCACAGCATGCTGATTAACCACTTACACATTATTTGTTATTTCCCATTAAGTCTGTTCCTGTTAGCTACCAAGAATATATTTTATTCAAAAGCATTACCACAGGATAGTAAGTGCCCAACTCCTGCAGACTTGCTTCTACATCCTATACCACGTCTGCATCTGCCCTACTTAGCTTCATGATGCAGCAGTAAAACATAAACAAATTAAAACTTTGCTGAGTTGCTGAAAGACAAGGCAACAAACCTGTGGGAAGGTCAACAGCAAGTTCTTCACCATACTTTCAAAAAAATAAAAAAAGGTGCAAAGATGACTTTAAGAGCTTTGCATTAAGTGGCTTAAGACTTAAAAAAGAGAACTTAAACTCAGAAGTAACAGGTTTTTCTGGTCCCCTACCAACTCCTCTTTTTTCTTTTGTCCACAAGTATTTGGCAAATTTCAGGGATCTATCCCAGGGATAGATCAGGTGAATAGTGATTCGGGGATTTCAGGGATTGTAATACCAAAATACACTTCTCATAATACCATTTCATACCAAGCAGGCCATACAGTTCACTTAACTAAAATCAGGCATTCTTGTAAAGTCCTTTGTCAACACCTCCTTACCCACTGCACAGCAAACTAGTCTGTGAGCAAGCAGTCTCAGTTACGTGAAAAGTCACGGGGATCCAAAGGAAGAAAAGGGGCTCCATGTACACAGCAGTGGCGCTGATGTGAGCACCAGTAGCAGACAAGGTGGGGCCCCCGCGGGCAGCTGCAGTTCAGAGCCCTGCGCTGGGAATTCTCCGGCTGCACGCATGTCCCACGGCACACCGGTGACTGTCAGCCAAGCAGGCATTAACCTCTCTTGCACCTCGATTCCACCTGAACAACCACCTAGTCCCGAGTCTTGTTTAGACTACTGCTATGATCGACTAAAAATCAAATCCAGATTCATGGCTGGGACCGCTACTTTCAGTTTTCAATTAAAAAGACAAGATTTTTAGACACGTGGGGTAGTTACAGCTCATTTGACAATTCTTTTGCAGTTATGAAACTGCTAAAATACTGCACCAAAGTGGAAGGCAGCCACCAAGTTTCACCAAATAAGACATCTGGGACAGTAAGGTACATGTTTTCTGAGATCTGTCCTAGCAATTCTGAGTTGAGGACCATTAAAAGAAAAGAATCAAGTTTGCAAATGCAACAACCATGAGCAGTTTAACATTAAACGAATATAAGATTAAACTTAATACCATTTGGTGCAAAACAATTACACTTTCTCCTTACTCCACACCTAGATTAAAAATCTTGAAGTCACTTTCATGTAAACTCATAGCTTCAATGATTTAGTTTTGGAGATACCATCATCAGACACTTAACACAACATCCGCCTTGGGCTACCGATCTCTAACCAAACCTTCCTCTGCTATCCACAACCCGCTGTACTTTCAATTATTAAATCAAAGCACTCCACAGCCATGGGAGATAATACAAGCTAAAGCTTGACAAGAACGAAACTACTACGTGTAATACCACAGGTGAAAGTCCCTTAAACTACAAAATGCCGACTAGGAGTGCCGAGAAACAGTCTCTGAGCTGTTCTTGGAGACAGCCAAGCACAGACAGCTTCAGCCTCTGCAAGCAAAACCCTTTGTAGCTTACACAACTAGAACACCAAAGCATTGCTTTCTTGTTTTAGTTACAGTTTTGCAGAAAAATCTTATAATTTTTTTCCATGTCAGAGGAAAACACAGAAACAGTTTTAATATGTGTAACTTTGAAACCACTCCCAATTCCATGAAAAGTATGCATTCACAACAAACCCTAGATGCCACAGATAACTCAGCGAGTATCCTTTCCTTTCTCAATCCTAATTCTTCTCTTACACCTCTTCATAACTTTCCAGAAACTGATTTAAGACAAGAATAACCATAGCGACAAAACAGTTCTCCAAGACCCACCTTCTGAATACAAAGCAAAGACACACCCATTTTCATATCAATATAACAAAAGATGTATGAAAGCCATCTAGGGCAGCTGCTGGAGCTCTAGTGCAAAACGTTATATTTCAAGAATATTTCAAGCTAGATTGTGATATCTTTAGTCAAATAATATGTCAAATGAGAAAAAGTAGGTGCACTGAACATACTGGAAGAATCAACAGGCCCAAACTTTATATCAAGGCTGTGCCAAAGCCATTTGGGAGGTGAAAAGGAAAAAGTATAACTCCACCAGAAGGAAAATAACCAGCACGGAAAGCTACTGCGGAGACAACGCAGTTATTACTGACAACCTCAGCTGCCCAGGTAAGCTACAACAAAGACGACCTGAGCGAAAGCAGAGAAGTGACAGCGGCTGCCAGGGGAAAGGCGGGATTCGTACCCGAGAGGTGGTGCCCAGAAGTCCGGGAAAAGAGATACCTGCAAGGGTGCCGGAGGGGGGAGGGAGGTGGGCAGTGACAGCCGAGGCCGGGGCGGTGGAAGGAGGCCGAGAGCAGCGATGAGGGGCGGGGCGGCACCTGGCTGGGATCCCGGGGCGCGGAGAGAGCACCTGGCCGGGATCCCAGGGCGCGGGGGGGCACCTGGGCTCGGGACGGCGGCGTGGAAGGCAGCACTGCCCGGGAGGGGATGGGGGGCAGAAAGCGCAGAGCGCGCCGGTCCCGCACTCACCTGCGCCGTCTCTCCGCCATCCTCGGCGCGCACCATAGGGGGGGCCGCCACGGCAGCGGGGCGCAGCACGGAGCCCCCGAGCCGCCCGGGCTCCCTCTCTCACTGCAGGGCAGGGACGTAGCGGGGCACCGGCGGCTCAGAATGCCTCCAGCCGGGCAGGGATCCTCCCAGGGCCCGCTGCTCCCCGCTGTGCCCGCAGCGCCCCGGCGGCCGCCCTCAGCCCCGGCCCGGCCCCGGCGCGTCAGGCATGGCTCGGCCTGGCCGCTGCCCGCAAGGACGGGGCGCGCAGCGGCCCCTTTCTCGCCCCTACTGTGCCTCGCTCTCCGATGCTGTCAGAGCTGCCGCGGGCTCCGGCGGCGCCCGCCGCTCTCCTTCCCTCCGTCCCCGGGCCGCTCTGCTCCGCTGCCCTGCCCTGTGCCCGCCCGGCCCCCGCCGCGCACCGGCCGCCACCGCCGCTCGGGCTCAGCCGCCGGCGCTCGCGGCGCGCTCGGCCGGTGCCGCCCGAATCTCGCGCGCAGCCTCCCCCCCGCGAGCCGCCGTTTGAATCTGCGCAGGCGGACTGACGCCCCATTGGCCGCCGCCGGCCGCACGCGGCTCCGCGCGCCGGGCGGGAGGGGGCGGGGCCTCGCGCCGGCGGGCGGGCGATGTGACGGGCCCGGGGTGGGGGGAGCGGGCCGGCCCCGCAACGCCCTGCCGCGAGCGCCCGCGAGCCTCCCCCGCGCCAGCGGCAACGGCGGCGGCTCCCGACGGCAAAAGAGTGAAAAAGTAACGGCGGGGCCGCCCCCGCGCGGCAAAACCGAGCGCTTCCTTCGAGCCGGAATCGAACCAGCGACCTAAGGATTCCCGCGGGCCGCGCCTCTACAGTCCTCCGCTCTACCAGCTGAGCTATCGAAGGGAGCTGGATGTTCCTCCCAGCTCCATGGCATAAAGCCTTTCGCTGGAATGCCCTCCCCGCTGGAGCAGCTGGAGCATCGAGACGCGCTCGGGACGGAGACACGGAGCTGCGAGCGGCCCAAACTCCCGGGCGCGGCTCCCGCTGCCCGGGCCCTGCTGCCGGCGGGTCGGTCAGCGCCGGGGCTGCAGCTCTCTCGGCTTCTCACGCTCCCGCGCCTGTCCCGGCGTACGAGGGCAGCGCTCCCCGCTTCCCTCCCTTGCTGAAAAATCCGTGCCCTGTCGTTGCTCGCGTGGTTGAGGAGCGGGAAGCGCGGATCTCATCCATCAGCCAGCCGCGCTCTTACGGGGCTCCTGCTCCAGCTACGGCACGGGGCTTTTGGGAAGAGGCCACCCCCAAACAGAATCAGGTTGGAAAAAGCTCTCAGATCATCGAGTCCAACGTATGCCAACACCACCGTCAACTGCATCGTGGCACTGAGTGCCAAATCCAGTCCTTCCTTGAATACCTCCACGAGCAGTGACTACACCACCTCCCTGGGCAGCCCGTTCCGATGTTTAGTCACCCTTTCCGTGAAGAAATTCCTAATGTCTAACCTAAACTTACCCTGGCACATCCTAAGACTATGTGCTCTCATCCTGTCCCTAGTTGCCTGGGAGAAGCTGAACCCCACCTGGCTACAACTTCCTTTCTGGTAGAAACATGGCACTGCATCCTCACATCCTCGTGTGGCTATGCTGATGACACGTGGACTCCACGGAGCTCCCAGGAGAACAAGGCAGGAGCACCTGCTTTAAAGACAGATATTGGCAGCTGCACAGTAAAAAAAAACCCAGAAGGGTGGCAGTTAAAGGTACTCAGTCATGGTGTTCACTTGACACTGGAGTGTTCACATCCATCACAGGGCTAAACCATCACTTTTTATTAATTGCAGTATGATTTTTACTTTAGTGGTCAAAACAAATCACCAAAACAGCCGATGGTTCCTTATCCATCATCTTATTTCCAAAAACTTTTTTTTCGATGGTTTGCTTAAGGAAATTTGCTAACCACCACCACCACAGAGGCAGTGACCTCCTGAAGATAGCACCATCATGAAGTAAGAGCTACATTCCAGCAGAACCTCTGTGTGTTTTAGGTATTTCCCTACACAAGTCTTTTGCTGGAACTATAGAACGATTGGGATTGGAAGGGAGATCATCTAGTTCCAGCCCCTGTGCAATGGGCAGGGACACCTTCCCCTGGACCAGATTTCTCAAAGCCCCATCCAACCTGACCTGGAACACTTTCAGGGATGGGGCACCCACAGCTTCTCCAGGCAACCTGTTCCAGTGCCTTACCACTTTTAGTAAAAGGTGATCATTTTTTCCTGATATCTAATCTAAACCTACTGTATTTTAGTTTGAATCCATTCCCCTTTGTCCTGTCACTATATTGGATGCATCAGTAATGCTTTAAATTGTATTTAAAGAGGTGCTCCACTCCCATAATCATCTTTGCAGCCCTCCTCTGGACTTGCTGCAGAAGCTCCTTGTCTCTCTTTTGTCCTGAAGAGCCCAGAACTGCACACAGCATTCCAGATGTGGCCTCACCAATAGAAGGGCAGGATCATCTCCCTCGACCTGCTGGCAGTGCTTTTCCTAATGCACACCAGGGTTCCACTGGCCTTCTTGGGCACTGAGGCACATTGCTGGCTCATGGGCAGTCTGTTTTTCACTAGCATGGAATACACGGGAGTATTCGGAATAAAGGAAGCCGCGTGTGGGGTCTATACATCCCCACAGCACTGTCAATGTTCCTGCTGCATCCCTATAGCACTGGGGCTGTTCCCAGCACATTCCCACAGCACTGTCACTGTTCCTGGTGCATCTCTATAGCACTGCGGCTGTTCCCGGTGCATGCCCAAAGCAATGTCAGTGTTTCTGGTGGATCCTCATAGCACTGGGGCTGTTCCCAGCACATCCCCACAGCATTGGTGCTGTTCCCGGTGCATCCCCACAGCAGTTTCATTGTTCCCGGCACATCCCCACAGCATCGTGGATGTCCCCAGTGCCTGCGGGCGGGAACGCCGGGCTCGCAGCGCCCCCTGCGCGGACACGCGGGAACTGCAGGCGGCGGCACAGCCCCCACGGCACGGGAGGGCAAAAACCTACCAAAAACACACCAAAAACCCAACTTCACCCGTACCACAAACCCACTGTTATACGGGTGAACTAGTGTCGTTGCATCTTTCACGAATACAATCGATTCCTTGAGTGTTTTATTTGTAGTCTTTGCTAATAGGTATTCAGCCCCAACCTACATTCCCTGTGATGCACTTCTAGTATCCAGAGCTGACAACGCAGCAGGTTTCTCCACATCAAAGCTCCAATAGGAATCTTTGAACTATGAAAGCTGTAATGAAAAAGTAATAAAAGGCACCCTGAGACAGGATTTGTGTCATCAGCTTCATACAGTATGAAATGGCACCTTTTAGCACTCATTCATATTTAATTCAAAGAGAAAGGAGCCTGAAATAAAAAAAATATTGTCTAAATAAGTAACGTCTTGTATATTCCCATAGTAACACGTGTGTTCCTAATTTACAAGAAATAGATCCTGAAAGCATTAACTGAAGCAAATTGCTAAAATAATAAGTACTGATGGTCCTGTTGTTAAAAAGAGTAATAGCCTAAAGATGTAGTTTGTTATGACATCCAGTCATAAACATTCTCCTTGAAGTACACCAGTGAGCACGTACATACCCCACTTTTTTTTTTTAATCCTGTTACTGTCCTGTGAAGGTCTTATGTTTGGAGCTTCTTTTGCTCCTACATGTTAAAAAAAAAAAGTATAGAGATGCATCCCCCTCTCTCTATCTCTTCTCAGCTTCTAGTAACTTCACAAAACCAAGCCAGAGGTCTACGACTGTCTCCAGAGACCTTTTAAGAAAGAAGGCACAAACAGACAGTGTCACTCTAGCAGGATATGGACTGTCCCCTCCCATCCTATCCACGTTGTCATGGCCCACAACCCACCAGAGTCAGTTTGATAGGCTTCTAATAGGACACTCACTAGCCAGCAATATCTGAGTCCCATTGTGCAAGAACTGCTTTCTGCCTTTGTTTGCCCCTGCCAAGATTCCCTTGTGACAAAGGAAAGCCCAGTTCCAGCCTAGACCCAAAGAACGTGACCAGGTGCAAGGACATTGCTGCAGGTTCAGGGTGTCAGGAGGAGGCAAACCCTAGCTCATAGACCTTGAGTCGCAGTGGACATACATCCAGTGGCATTTTTTGCCACTTTTCCATTACCTTAGAACTGTTTAGTTGTGTCTCCTGAAAAATCAAAACCAAACAACACTTGAATCAGCTTTGGCATTTCGATCTTGCTTGGGTTTTGTAGTGTTGCAACAAAACACATTTCCAAAGACAGAAACACTTGCTCTTGCCCAGATAATTCAATGGCAAAGTGCCTGGAAGAGAGAGTGATGGTCCTATCATTTGTTCCATTATTCTTTCTTGTTCAGTTTCCTGCTGATCTGCAGGGGAAAAGCTTCTATTAGGCATTCATTATGACCTTAACCAACAGCAGATTGATCCTGCTGGGAAACAGGTCCCTTCCCGTGCAACACGGATCCTTCAAAAAATGTCACCAAGCTGCAGTGGTATGAAGGTACCACACTATAAGGCCATATATTAAGTCCATATGTATACTATTTTTTACTGCTCCAATTTGGTAAGAGTTCCATCTATTTCCTGATAAAGCCTTTAGTGAATAAAAAGTACCAGTCATGATCCCACTGCATATTGTCACAAGGAAATGATAGAAAAACTCTGAAGTCACATGCAGAAGTTTGTAATTCTTTGCTGCTATGCATCAGAATCTCATTGTGAATTCAGGCAGCCAATTTAACATTTCTCTGGACAATAAAGCAGTACATGGATGTTTCTTGGGAGGCATACAAGGCTTAACATCACTGACTTGAAGTTAAGAATAATCAGTCTGTCCTAAATGTTCTCTCTGTCGGTTGTTTGGAAACCTTACAACAGAGGAACCCAGAGTCTTTGTGAAGATGATTCTCAGCACAAATAATCAAGACAGGCAACTGACTTCTTAGTATGAGAGAAGAATCTAGAAAAATTCCTACAAAGTAAACTCAAGAATCAGGTTTTTTAATTGTGGA